CACCCCCCCCGCCCACCGTCCAGTGACCACGACATGCTGGTCCAAGAGTCCCACCTGCTACAACAGGCCGGAGTGGTCACTCTAGTGGTCAGCGTGGGTTACCTCACAGACCCGCACGAGCTGTCTGCCATCGCCGGGGACAGGGTATTCCGAGCCTTGACCTTCGCTGAGGTCACCACCTTGACCGATGACCTTCTGACCTGCGTGTGTCAGGGTAGGTTCCTCTGTAGGTTTCACATGTGTGCTCAATAGACATATTATTTCATCAGCGGCATTTCTCAATCGTCAGAATCATCCGGGGTTCGTCAAATAAGCCGTGTTTCAAGGAAAATCATCAAGGGACATAATGATACTACAACATATAATGTTCGTCTTAGTTTTTGACAGAAAAATAACGAGTGCCCAAGTCAAAGTTCTGATTTGAGAGGACCATTTTCTTTACATTTCTTAAAACTTCCACAAAAAATATGCATGCGTTTGTGCAATGACGCTGGCGAATTTGTGAAGTCGTTATAAACGTCTCTCATCAGCTACTTCACAACCTTTGAATAACAAAGATCCATCTGATATGTCTAGCCGTTTTGAGTTACTAAGATCATGAGGTCAGAAACCAAATATTCTGTCTGTTCTATCATAATTATTTGGAGTCGTTATCAAGACATTCAAAGAATTGCTTTAGAAAAGGCTTTACATGTGAAACTCAAATGTTTTAATGTCAAATTTCTCAAAACTATTGATTTTCTTTCAAAAAGACAGAGCTTGTTAATCTATTCTTAGCCGGTGTCCATTTCTGCGACCGCCAAGAGGCTGACATGTTCCTAGAATCCACCTAGATCTAGATGACGTTTTAACTAGCAGTGCATGAGATACTAACTAGCCGTAACTACTCGGGTGAACCCACCGCGCACCAAAATTTCAAAATCACCTACTAGCGGGTGATAGGTCTATAACCCAGGCTGGAAAGCACAGCATTGTGGGGGGGAAAAACTGATTGAGGGTTTCGGTGTCGTTTTGCCAGTTCTTGCCCGAAGCACAACGATACCCGTGACTCCGACAACGCCAGCAACACTTCTAGACCTCCTCCAGACACCCACACATCGCCCACACAACGGTGCAACAGACTTGGACGTCGGTATGTCAGCTCCTGCATGTGTAGTCCAAGTGTGTTGGGTGTAGTCCAAGTGTGTTGTGTGTAGTCCAAGTGTGTTGTGTGTAGTCCATGTGTGTTGTGTGTAGTGTGCAGTCCAAGTGTGTTGTGTGTAGTCTATGTGTAGTCCAAGTGTGTTGTGTGTAGCCCATGTGTGTTCTGTGTAGTGTGTAGTCCAGGCGTGTTCTGTGTAGTCCATTTCGTGTGTTGTGTGTAGTCCAAGTGTGTTCTGTGTTGTGTGTAGTCCAAGTGTGTTCTGT